CAGCAAAGGCCTCAGTCAATTCTGTGGGAAGCCAGGGGGCCTCCAGAGTTGCCCCGAATTCAGACAAGGAGGCCTTGCATTGACCAGTCCCTGGACGTGGGCCCCCCCTGAGGGTGGGGTGTGCACTTGGGCTCCGCAGCTCCCTTCTGCCCAGCCCATTCCAGAAGGACACCCCCTGGGTCTTAGGGATGCTCCCGGTGTGGGTAGTGAGTCCTGAGGGACCTGGAGATGCAGCACAGCCCTCACCCACTGAAGCCCCCCTGGGAGGCTTGGCCAGGCCCTTATAAGACGGTGAGTCTGGGGTTCCCGGGAGAGTGAGGACTGGTAGAATCCAGCCACTGTGATGTGTCCAGGATCTGGGCTGAGTTTTCCTTTGTGTTTCATAATTTTTGCAGCTGAATTTTGTAAAGTGAACCTGCGTCTAGAGATTTAAAGGAGGGGCCTCACTTATGTCAAGGTGGGGAGGGACGAGGAGCAGAGGCCTGGGGGAGGGGAAAGGGGGAAGCCAAGGGCATCAGACCAGGGTGCCAAGTGGCAGTGCACAGAGTGTGAACTAGTACCGTGGTGGGGATCCTCGGAAACTTCAGAAAGGCCTGGGAGGACACCTGATGATGTGTGTCTTTTCTGTTGTCAAGGAGACAGCGGTTCAGGCTGTTACCACTCAGAAAAGGGAAGGAGAAAGAGTCATCTTCCAAGGTCAAGGCCAAGGAATTGCAGGCATCAATTTCACAACTTTCCTCTGTTAACTGGGTAACCAGGCTTACAAGGACTGGGCCTTTTTCTAGCTAGGTCAGTGAAAACCCCATCTCTCTCTCTTTCCCCAGATCCTGGCAGTGACATATAGTAATGCCTGGAATTGTTGGTAGTCTACATTAGGGCCTTCATGCCAACAGATCTTGTTCAAGTCCTGTCTGTGCCATAGAGGAGCTGTGTGACTTTGGGTAAGTCACTCACCCTCTCTGAGGGTGCTTCTTCATCTATTAAGAGAACAATATCTACCTTATGGATTGCTGTAAGGGTGCAGGTAGGAAAGCACCTGTGAAAGCATCTCCCTTCGTCCTTGGCATTTGGGATGTTTCAAAGATTCAGTCTCTTTTCTGTCTATGTATCTAGGAGCCCACGATTTGGGCCTGAAAGGATGTGCCAGTTCCTTGGCTCTCAGGGAGAGGCGGGTACTTGGGTGCAGTGTTCCAGGAACTTCCCGCTTGGGCAAGTTTCTTATTCGTGTCAGGACCATTCTCCTCCACTCCATCCTCGAGTCGTGCCATGAGCACCACGGTTCTCCATCCACCCAGCCTGCTGATAAGCCAGCAACAATGTTATCACAGCTGGCAGGCCCTTTGGGGCAGCTCTCCTTTGTTGGGCAGTCTTGGCTCCCATGGGGGTTCTGGTTGGATGTAGGTTTAGATGGGCTGTTGAGAGGGCCTGGGGCAGGGCCTGGCTTCTAGCAGATGCTAAGTGAGTGTTCACCGGCTGAACGAGTGAATGAGAGAGAGCTCTGTAGACGGTGGGGCAAGACTTGGATCTGGAAAGAGCAAAAGCAGTGCTTCCATGTCACCATGTTGGGGTGGGGGGAGTACGGCAGCACCAGGAGTTAGGAGGTTCCAGCCTAGCTTCTTCCTGTGTGTTCCTGGCCAAGTCATTTCACCTCTTTGAGCCTTTTACGAACACCTGTTAAGTGGAGTTAATAATTTAAGCTGTCAAATACTGTATAAACAGAAAACCAGTGCTGGCGAGGACGTGGAGAAATTGGAACCCTTGTGCACTGTTGGGGGAATGTAAAATGGTCCAGTTGGTAATGGAAAATCGTGTGGCAGTTCCTTAAAACATGCAGCATAGACTTACCATATAATCCAGCAATTCCACTTCTGGGTATATCCCCGAAAGAATGGAAAGTGGAGTCTTGAAGAGATGTTTGTCCAGCCTTCCATGTTCATAGCAGGATGATTCGCTTTAGCCGAAAGGTGGAAGCAACCCAAGTGTCTGTTGATGGGGGAAGGGGGATCACACCTCAGCTTTGAAGGGTGATTGAAATCTTCCTGTGCTGAAATCACCCTTTGATGAGCATTCACAAGAGATACAAATATCTTCATATTCTTTCCCCATTCAGAGAGATCTGTCAATATGCCTCTTTCCCAGGCCTCCTTGTCACTAGTTTCCTAGTGATGTTCCTTCCAAAGTTCCTGATCTTACAGCAAAACCATTTTTGACAGCTGGTGAGTTAGTATAGACTCTTACCTGGGCCATTTCTTCTTCCAGGCAAAACGTACAACCAGGTGCACTGTTCACGGTTTTCCCCGCCGGGAAGATCTCCTTTCACTGTCCTCTAGGGATGCCCCCGAAACGGACCGTAGAGCTACCGCACCCAGTTTTGGATTCTGAACCCAGTTCACTCTGACTCTGAAGCCACAAACGGTTCCGTTCTACTGCTGCCCACTTGGTTTCATCCTCAAGGTTCTGGTTTCACACTCTGTGGAGGGGCCCACCCCAGTAGAAGGGTCTGTTGCTGGTCAGGTCTCCTCTCTGTCAAGTTGAAGTGGTTCCCCATTCTGGATCAGCTCTCAGAATGCCTGCTCATAAGATGAGTGTCCCAAGACTGGATTCCCCGTGACAGCCCTTTGAATACTTGAAGGTATTGGTTGAGCCCTCCCTCTAGGCATTTCCGTCAGCGTCCTATTCAACCACTGCCATACGCTGTGATTTCTAGACTCCCCTCTAAGGGCCTCCAGTGCCCTAACGTGATTCCCACAGCCACAATGTAACCTCAAGACTCTGAGACCAAACCATGAGATTATATAGATTTTATTTCCAAGGGCAAGAAAGGTTATCAGACAGCAGGAAGTGGATAGAGTTAGCTCTTGGACAGCTATGTTTAGCCAACAGACATTTCATGAGTGTTGGACTGTGAGCAGGACATGAAGAGTCTGGTGATGGATCCTGGCCATGGACTACTGAGGACTGGGTCGGGAAGAAGAGCTCGAAGGAGCCCCCTTCTTGACATCAACAGCAGTGACACAGAATGAATGTCAAACGCCTCTCTTCCCCACCCAAAGTCCCTTTGTTACTCACAGGAGGTGGGAACCAGTATCAACGTCAAACTGGCCTGGGTCCTAGAATTAATGACGCTTGATCCTGTTGACACGATGAATGGTGGTGATGGTGATGGATACGTTGTTAGCCCTGAGTCACCCAAGCGTGCCGTTGCTGACAGCATTCCTGTTTTGATGCCTAAGCAAGATTAGAACAGTCTCGTAGTTGGTTTGTTCATTTTCCAGGCATTTTAAGAGGTACTTATTAACCCGCTACTATGTGATCTAGCTAGTGAGCAGCAAGGGACTTCCCACTGCCTTTGATCTACACTTTGATCTAAGCTACAACTCCTGGTTGTCTGCATTTTTGCAGCCTCAGTCTTTCTGGGCCTTTTAGTTCTCAGCTCTGTTTAACATTCTGTTCTTCTGTTTGCCATTTAAAAATTTCCTATGATTGTTTCTTTTAAATACTGAGGAGGGTTTTGGGCAAGCACACATTGCTGCTTAAAAAGTGCTCAAGATGTAATAATGGTATATTGTTTCAGTAAGCCACAAGTAGTCTGTCTGTCTGTAAATCTATCATCTAAATATATGCACAGAAAAACATACAGACACAGACACAGACACACACATATTACGTTTAGAGTGAAATACACACATACCCAGGGACACACATCCATGGTAATCCTGTCACCATGGGGACAGTTCTACAGGGGCTTAGAATCATCACTTAATGTATAAAGGTAACAACAGGTTCTATTAGTTCTTGGGATCTTGCTCTTTCTCAGTACCTGCTGTAATGAAACTTACATAGCTCTCCAGTTTAAGGAATTCAGTGCTCCTGTCAACCATGAAAACCTGTTTGTGGGCACTGAGTTATCTGACTGTATTTAAGGAGCATTTGTCAAATTATCGCTACTGCTTTCGTGATTGTCACGAGCATTCTGTTGAGGGCGGGCAGTGAATGATGGGGGGAAGCAGCAGGGTGAGACTGAGGGCTCTTCGTGGAGCCCCTGGGAGCCATTTCTGTGTGTGGCGTGGCCATCCAAGACAGGCCACTGACACATCAGTCACAGCGCTTCCCAGGTGGATATAATAGCCGTCCTCGTTTGGGACATCAGGACACACCGGTGGGCACTGCTGGGCTGGGCAGGCAGGGTGTAGGGTACTTGCTTTGCCCTGTGAAGTGAGGCTTCCCTGCTAGAGAACTCCAGGCCCAGATGCGTGAGGGGTCATTGGCAAGGATGCAGTGCAGGGGGTACCAGCCCACGAGTCTCCCCTTCCACCAGCAGGTGACTCAGGTCCAGGGCTGAAGGAGGGTTGCACCCTCATGCAGAGGGCTCAGGGAGAGACCTCTGAAAACCCGCAGACGTTTCACAGGGAGCCGGGCTGGTGTGGTGACAGCAGTGGGCCGTGCAGCCTGGGCTGGGGGCTGGCTCCGCTCCCAACACGCTGTGTGGCTTTGGAGCATCGCCTCACAATCCCAGCCTCGACTCTTCCCCAGGGAGCCGAGAGGGTCAGTGCTCAAGACTTGAGAAACCCCACGCGTCCTCCTCTCCCCCTCGGGGAGGTGGCCTTCTTGTGGTGATTACATTTTACATTTTTCTCTATTCCCCCCACCATGCCCACACAACACTCAGATGCCTGCCGCCTACAGATGAGCAGTGTGGCACAGAGGTCCAGAGCTCCAACGTGAGAGTCAGACAAGGGTTTAAATCCAGCTCAGAAAGATGGGTTCCATCAAAGTGCCCATCTCATAGAGCTGCGTGAGGACACAGGTGACCAGGAGCACCAGCAAGAGCCTGGCAGGGGAAGAGCTTGTGAGGACGAGCCCCAAGAACCCTGGAGGCTGGGCCCAGGGCAGCTCCGTGCCCCGCAGATGTTTCCCTCTGTTGTATTCAAATCTGGTAACAATGGGCCCGCCGTCCTGGGAGGGGCTGAGTGTGGTCCCTTAGCTCCCAGCAGCCTGAGCCCACTAGAAGGGCAGCCTCCTCCTCAGCTGGACGTCTGGACCATGGACAGTGATCTGAGTGACGCGGACAGTAAGTATCACCAGGGAAGGCATGGGGCGCCCGCCTCTGCAGGGCGCTGAGCTGAATTTTTCCCGCTGCCCTCAGTGCTGTCCTGGTTCTGCATCTGTGCTGCTGAGAGCATCCGTTGCTTCTTTTCCTTCCTTCCTTCCTTCCTTCCCAGTGTGAAGCCCGTTTGCTGCCTGCAGGTGGCTGTTCCATTAGGTGCTTCTGAGCAATGTGGAAGGAAGGTAGAAAAAAGCAAGGTGAGAACTTCTCTTCCAAGCTATGTAACACTGTAACCCATCCACATCTTACATTCTTTATCCTTCTTTTCTTTGGTTGTTAGTCCCCCTCTGCCCCCACCACCCTGGAGCCCAATGTGAGCCTGAATATCAGGATTCTCATTTCAACCACAGTTGCTTTAGCTCTTAGATGAGGTTAATTTTAAAGAAATGTGAGAGAAAGTTCTTTACACGTCATCTTCCTCTAGCAAAAATCTCACTAGTTCATTACTACTCATGAAACATAGCCCAGGTGACCCCGTCTTGTCATTAGTGGGACAGAAATACAATGGTAATTTAAGGACTATTAAAGAGATGAAGAAGGAAGTGGTATTTTAGGAAGAGATGCGCTGTGTTTTTAAAAAGGAAGTTTCAAGCCTGAATTTGGAACTGGCAATGTGGTAGAATGTCAGACTGGGAATTGGGAGGCTAGTGTTCAAGTTCTAGCTCTGCTGTGAATTGGCTGTGTGATCTTGGGCAAGTCACTTAACATCTCTGTGCTTCAATATCCCTATCTATAAAGGAAGATCGGGCAGGAATTCTTAATTTGAGGACCATGAAGGTGAGGACAAAATACTGTGTGAATGTGCTTTGTGTGTGTGTGTGTATGTGCTGGGAGCAAGTGGGCACAACTTTCATTTGAATCCTAGTGAGGTCTGTGACACTAGCACATTTTCAGAGTTACCAAACTTGGTGATTTTGAAGGCGCTTGGCAGGTCTAACACTTCATTTTTTTTAATACTGGTATCTCAGAGCTTTAAGCTTCCGAGCTGAAGTGAGATATAAAATGGACCCCTGCTAATCTGAGAGAGAACTCAGGTTAAATTTTGTTGGAGTCCTTTTTTATATTGAAGTGAGAAACTATACAGAGATATATTTTAGCATGAATTTGGGAAGGGCCTCATCTGATCTCTGATATTGGAAATTGTGTGTCCATAGTCTTATTTAATAGGCTTCTACTAACATTTGAATGCAGTCTTTCCTCTTCAAAACACAGCTCATTAGCATTCTTTCAATTTATACTTGGAGTTTCTTTTAGTAGGAATGGGCTAGGTCAGACCTGGATTGAAATCCAAGCCCTGCCATTTAACTGCTGGGTGACTTTGCCTAAGTCACTTAACCTCACTGAACTTTATTTCTCCCCTTAAAAATAAGAGATGGTGTCATCTTACAGAGTTGGTAAAGGATTAATTGGATGTAAAGTGCCGGACACATCACTCAGCCCAGAGTAGGCATGGATAATGATCAGATTATGTCCCCCAGAGCTTTAAAATTAAACTATTAATGGAAAATATGATTACTGTGATGTTTCTGTTTTGGCATCAAGTCTTGGCAAACAAGCTGAGAGGAAGGTGAGCTCTTTTTAGTTCCCTTAAAATTCTGAAAACTCTGATTCTGCCTTGGGGTCACGCTATGTGCCGGTTTCCAATACAGTAAATCCTGAGGCCAGCACTTAGGGTCTACTGCAAGATAGGGGATTGTCCAGAAATAGAAACTAGGTTGATGAAATCTGAAACAAGGTAAAAATTTTTTCCAGGTTTCAGAAAGGGAGCCTGCTATGGGATCTGTATAATTCAAATGTCCCTTCCTAGGTGAGAGATGGCTGTCCACTTTATCCAGTTGAGTTACCCTTCCTCACAGAACTGTTGTCTCCTTGGTTTATGAGTCTATGATGCAGGCAGCCTCAGAGAGAGAATATCTTCTTCCAGTTACACAATTTGGGAACAAAGTAGGCATGGATAGGGACATTCTGGGATGTGGTACCCTGGTACCACATGGAAGTCATGTGGCCTTAAAGGCCTTTTAGTATCACCTTCATCAGATGCCAGGATGCCTCTGACAGCATCCCCGACTAGAGGTAGCATCTCCCACCATTGACTGGAACACCTCCTGGGATGGACTGGTCCCCCTCCTGCAGCTGAGACTGTCACAAGTTCTTTCTCACACTGAGTTGATATCTCTTTATTTGGAGCTTCTACTCTTTGGTGTTGGTTTTACCCCCTCAAGACTACTTAGAATGTCTATTCACTGTTTAAAATGAGAACCCCTAGATGTCTTTTCTTCTTTGACTTGCCAAGGTCCTGTTTTTTCAATGGTTCTAGATGCAATGTGGTTTCAATTACTCTTAGAGGGGAATGTCCTTGCACAGAGCTTAAGAGGAAAAATCCCCTCCCTTATTCTAAAAACCATATCTTTTATAATCTAACTTCTTTTATTACAGACTGAAAGCCTTCCCAGGAATGGTGAGCAAGAGCCTCTTTGAGTAAGATGGGCTGTAACTAGAGCCCCTGGTAATTTTAGGAGGGGGCGTCTGTGGTCCAATACCACAGGGTCTAGATGGTACCCCATTATGCCTTGGCATTGGTCTCTGGGGAAGGGGGCAGTGGTCTGAAGCTGCACCACTGTCACCATCTGTGACCCAGTGCTGATGAGATGGGACACTCTCCTTGGTACCCAGGCCAGCTCTGCTCTACAAAGCCTTATTCATTAGTGTGGACCCCGCCCTGGCTGAGTTGGGGTTTGAGACCGGATCTGAAGCCATCTCCGTAAGTTGATGGGAAAAGATGCCAGACTTCCTGGCAGGAACCCTGCTGCCCAGAGCCTGTGACTGACCATGGGGCCTCACGCTTTTCACACGTCCCTTCGGGTGGAGGCGCAGATACTGTGAACCTCCTGCGGGTTGGCCCTGGGCTCCCAGATACACCTGGTCTCCCCAGCAGCTGCTACATTTCTGGCAGGGCATCGGGGACTGTGGGTTTCTCAACTTCTAAAGGAAAGATACAGTGTCCCGTCTGGGGAATGAGTAAGAAATACAAAGCCTTAATGAAACTGTATTACAGCTTAGAGATGGTCTGGAGGACTCTAGCAGGCCCATCAGCACAGACGTCTCTAGCCTGTAGTTCCCATCGTTTCTCTCAGTGATGCCCTGAGCCTTGCTGTAGGGAAAGATCAAGACCCTAACAAGTAAAGTGATTTCCCCGAGACAACACAGTAAGGGAGCTATTTTGTGCTGTGCTCATGGCTGGGGGACCAGGATGGCTAATGGGGGAGGCAGACCCCACATGGACTTTTTGCAGATAATTCTTATAAAGCCTTTCAGAAGAAGCAACAACAGAGAGTGGGAGAGAAGGCTGGGGGGCCCGGAGAAGGGGAACCACATACGGGCCGGCCTTGCGGGAGGTGAGGTCTGGGCTGAGCCAGGCTGGGCACAGTGACGGAGGGTGTCGTGGGCAGGGACAGCCAGAGCAGGGGCTGGAGTGTGTGTGCGTGATGCTTCTGTGTGTTGGGGGGTAAGTGCAGACATCAGTGTCATGACGTGGGAAGTCACCTCTGGAAAGGAGACGACTCTCAGAAAGCCCAGCCTGCATGTGGCTCTGTCTTGGCTCCAGGGCACTTTCTCCAGAGGCTGAGTTCCACACGCCAACTAATTGACAATCAGCTGTAACATCTGCTGCCTTCTCGTGGAACCAGAGGGAGCCGACAGCCCCGAGAAAGACTTCTCCCACGTCTTCTTCCCCCTGTTTTTTTTGGTGGTGATCACACCCACGGTGGGCAATCTCTTTGCTCCCCTAAATATTTTCACAATGGCTCCTGCCTCAAAGCAGGCTTGCCTCGCTCGTTCTCATTTCCCATTTCTGTTCTGTTCTTAACCCCACCCTCCCACCCCCACCGGTTAGCTGTCTTCCCTTCTCTCTCCCCTGGACAACACAGGAGGGCTTTTGCCCCATCGTGTGGGCTGACAAGGCTCTTTCCTTCCTGCCCAACAGGTAACGTAGGGCCATACCTGCCAGGTTCAGGAGTCTGGATGTTAGCTGTGGGCAGTAGTGAGCCACTGCGGTGTGTAAGGTTGGGGGTGACCTGGTCAGGCTTTCTGGTCTTGCTGGGAAGGCCTCCAAATAGTGTAGCCAATTATTTGTTTGTTCTTCTTGGCAAAACAGTACTTTTTCTTTTCTTTATCTTAGGATCACTTGAATCTCCTTCTCTCTTTCTAAAATTATTTTCCATTGTGGTAAAATACACATAACGTGAAATTTACCATCTCACTGTGAGTGTACGGCACGTTCACGTTATTGGGCGAGCATCACCACCATCCATCTCCAGAATCTTTGCGTCTTGAACAACTAAACTCTGCCCCTGTCAAACACTAGCTCCTCTCCTCTCCCCCCCGGTCCTTGCAACCACCATTCTGCGTTCTGTCTGTATGAATTTGACCACCTGAATCTCTCTTGCACCATCTTAAGTATAATGCACACCACAGGCATGTGTGAGCACCACCTGTATGCAAGAGTTGGCAGGGAGGCGGGGTGGTCCCTGTCCAAAAGGGGCTCTCACACCTATTGAAAGAGGCAAGATGTAAAACAAAGGAAAGCAAGATGGCAGTGGGGGGCCGTCTGCCCAGAGACGTGGCCTGATTTCAGTGCTTTGACAGCATTCATCTGGAATCAGGGGCAGAAGACGTGGACTTCTTTGATCTCTGAAATAGAGGGCATGGCACTTTAAAAAGAGAAAGCGAAAGGGGTTATCATGAATTATGCCTTTCCCTATAGGAAAAAATTCCTTCCTATACAAAAGAAAAATAGCTGGTGCCCGGCGAGCAGAAACACTGCCTGAGAAGCACTTTGCAAAGCTTTCGCGGTGACCGCTTGACGTGTTTGCAAGGATCACTGGGGTGTCCACCTTCCAAGTGGGAAGACCATTGAGCTTGGGGTCAGGATGTGAGTTCTAAGTACTGTTTCTGTCTTGGCTCTGAGTGTGTGAGCTCGTTGCCCCCAGTCACATCTCTGAGCCTCAACTTGTTCTTCTACGAAATGGGCCAAACAGTGGTTGTCTTGAGGTGCAAAGAGGAGACCATACAGCATCTCAGACCTGGTGCGGCCTGTGTTAGGGGGCCCTGGTCCAGCTGGACAGTCGCCCTGGAACTCAGCCCAGACACCATAGAAACTGTGACGCGGCTGGTGGCCCCCTGCAGGTGCCCCATGCTGGGCGCCACACGAAGTCCCGTGACATCCACATTCCTGTTGTGCCCAAGGAGATCTGCCCAGGAAATGACACGTCCGCCTGTACTGCAGCCTGGGGGCCTTTATTTTTGTCCACAACATAATGGAGAGATTAATTTAGCTCTGACGAATGGCCAGAGGTCAGGGTGGCTCCCGGTTGATGGATGGAGCTCTGAGTTTCCCACCTCTCATTCTCCCCCTCTTCCTGCCCCTTTGTTTGGTTTCCAGCAAGACATCACGGCCACGTGGCATTTCCCTGTCTTTTTGAGGAGGAAAGTATTGATGCCCCAGCAGACCCAAGACTTCTGGGTGGGCGGGGGCCCTCCCAGGGAAGGTGGCTGGGACAGCCTCGCTTTTGTTTCCATGCCTGACATCTTCACTCTTGGCTTAAAGGAGCAGTGATAAAGAGACAGACCCTCCCTCCACCTTTCTCATCCCCCTCAAAACCCATCCACACAGGCGAGTGTCAGGTCAGGGTGGGCAAAATACAGCTCATGAACCAAATCTGCCCCACTGCCTGTTTTGTAAAGTTTCACTGGACCCAAGCCATGCTTACTCAATTGTCTATTGTCTGTAGCTGTTTTCTGGGTACAATGGCCGAGTTGAGTGATGGAGACCGACTGCAGGGCCCTCAGAGGCTGAAATATTTACCACCTGGCTATTTGTAGAAAATGTTTGCTGGTCCCCAAGTCCCTGGTGGCTAGAATTGCTTAAAATGCTAATAAGCTCATTAGAAGCAAAGCAATATTGAGAACCAAGGTTTGAAGAATGATTCTGGGTGAATTCTCATCCTGGGGATTTGGGGACACGTGCTTGAAGCTTGGGGACGATGTCACTTTCCATCACACCCACCTCTGCCCCAGGGCTCTCACCTCTTTCTCAGCAGAATCATTTGCTTCCTGTTCAGAAAGGTACTCCTCCATCTCTAAATGTTCCATTTCAGCTTCCTTTGGAAGTTTCCTGCAAGGAGGAAGAACCTTAGAGATGTATATTTCTTATTGTCCAAGGACAAGTGCATTCCTAATTGGGGGTTGTGGGGAGCAGTAGAGCAGGGTTATTTATTTGTTTGAATGACCCCACCCTGTGCCTCCCTCACTGCTCTTGGCCAAGAGTTTCTGGATTTCAGGTTTGCTCATCACCTGACATCTGTCTCCGCTTCCAGATAACCTAGGCTGTTCGAATTTCGAACAAGGTCTGCTGCTTCATCTGGTCTTTGCTTTTATGAAACTCCAAAGGGCAGGACATGTTATTTTTATTTTTTGTAGCTTTAAAGAGCTATGAGCTTTAAAGAGCTGCGAGAAAGGGAAGGATCTCGGTGATGAGGTGGGTCAGCTGGACGTGTGACCTGAGTGTGCTGCAGTGATTTCGTGCAGACAGAATCCCCTTCCACTGACCATTTATCAGCTCACCTTTTAAAGTCAACTTCCTGTGGTCAGTTGGCCACTAGAAAGACAGAGCTGAGGGATCCGTGTTCCCCAGCATGGGGACTTCAGGGAACAGATTTGAAGGGTGGTCCGTGGGCAGGAACAGGAGGGAGGAGTTTTTGTCCTGCTCTAACTCAACTGCTGTGCACCCTGGGGATACTGGAGTGACCTCTCTGAGCCTCAGATGCCTCATGTCAAGTGAGGTTAGAAGTCCTGCCTTCCACACCTCCAGGTGTGATGGTGGGATGAGGCAACAGGTTTGTGGGATGCTTCATGAGCTGTCCTGAGTTTCCAGAGGCCAGTACTAATAATATGCTTTTCTCCTTGGAGTCTCAGGGTAGTATGGATCTATGTTACAGCCTGACAGATCAACATGAGGTTTTAAAAACAGTGAGATAGTGTGTCTTCCACCATAGGGTTTGCCTCATAGAAGGTACATGGAAAGAATACCAGCTTTGGAGACAGAGGAACTTTGGTTTGAATCCGACTCCTTTACTCGTCGGCTGTGTGATATAGGGCGAGTCACAACCTCTCTGAGCCTCAGTCTTCTCATTGGTCGAGTGTGGTAGTGCTAGTGTGTCAGTTCGGATCATCCAAGAAACAGACACCAAGATGGCATGAGACATACCAGAGATCTCTTGAAGACCTGTGAAGGGAGAAGGGGAGAGGGAGCAGGTGTAGGCAGGGACCATCTTTGGACCACAGTGCAGATCAGACCCCCGTGAGAGAGGAGAGGGCAGCGGGAGGAGCCTCGGACCCTGGTGTGGCTCCAAGAATGTCTTGGTCAGGTCTGCGGAGAGACTCAGAATAAAGACTGCCCAGTAGAGGAAGCTGCGTGACAAATCACCCCACATTGAGGTGCCTTAAAACAATAACATTTTATTATATTTCATGATTTCATGGATAGGAATTTGGACAGGGCTCAGCGATTCTTCTGTTCCATGTGTAATTGATGAGGGTCTGTGTTAGTTTGAGCTGCTGTAACAAAAATACCATAGACTGGGTGGCTTAAAGAACAAACATTTATTCCTCGCTATTCTGCAGGCTGGGAAGTCCAAGGTGGACCAAGGCACCAGCAGATCCAGTGTCTGATGAGGGCCCTCTTCTGGCTTGTAGGCAGCTGCCTGCTCCCTGGGCACTCCTAGAGCAGAGGGGTCCATCCTCGAGACCGCATCTGAACCTAATCACCTCCCAAAGGCCCCACCTCCTAGTACCACTCCACTGGGGGTGTGGGACTCAACACATGAATTTGCGGGGTGCAGACATGCAGTCTCTAACAGGGTCACTCGGTGTAGTCAGCAGGTAGCTGCTCTGGACTGGAGGGTCCCACACGGCTTTGCTCATATGCCTGGTGGCTTGGCAGGGTGGCTGGAGGCCGGGCTCCACTGGGCCCCTCTCCACGTACTCAGGACATCTCCACATGGCTTGTCCAGTGGGACAGACTGATTTCTTACCTGGTAGGTCAGGGATCAAGAGGCCAGAAGTAGGAGCCGCAGTCTCTCCTTTGCCCCCCGTGTGACCTTGGTGAAGCAGTCCCAAGCTGCCCAGGTTCAAGGGGGAGGAAATGTAGACTTGTCTCTTGATGAGCATCAGAGAAATGTGACCATCTGGTATTCAGGATCTGCCCCCTTGGGCTGTGGAATATGTTAATGTTTCTAAAGCACCTGTGACTGGCTGGAGCAGGGGCCCGGCATACAGGAGCTGCCCTGCTTCATGGTTTTCTTATCATTCTTATTCCCGCCGCCACCATCATACCCCCACCCCAGCCCTGCCAGCCCTGCAGGTGTGTTGTGTGTCCTGAGGGGGCTGGACTGAGACTGACTTCAACTGTGAGCCACTTTGTGATGCACTGCTCCCCACCCCCACTCATCAATTTCCTGTGAAGTCGCCATCTTCCTGCTCTTCCCTCAGGTGTGGGCAACCTCAGCTTCGAGGCCGAAAGTCCTTTGGCGCCCCCGGCTGAACTCCTGGAGAGGCTGCCCAGCTGTGACTGGCTTCTTCAAGGGGACAGTAAGTCTATGGTCCATGGGTCTTGGGCCCTTCAACCTCTTCTTGGGGCTTAGCTGGTTGTGGGAGTGTCTCTGGAACAGGTCAGCCTGGGACGGCTCCCCTGACCCCTGGGGGCCCCGGGAAGCTTCTTGTCACTGTTGGGAGGGGACAGGAGGACAGGGGGTCCTGTGTCCATGGCCCTTCCATGACCATGTCCATTTCCACTGGACCCCAGGCTGATGCTGTCTTAGAACCACCATTCTTCTTCTTCTTCTTCTGTGTTTTCTCACGTGCAGCCAGCCCCTCCTTCTTTCACCCCACAAGCACCTGTGCCTTTGAGCCAGGTGTTTGACTCCTCCCCTCTCCTCCAGGGCGGCAGATATTCTTCCCACCTTTGGAGGCCCAGGGGAGACCCCAGGAGCAGAGGTGCTGGTCCCCGTTCCTGGAGCACGGGTGAGCCCTGGGGACCCCATGGAGCCATCACCATCCCCCACCCCCAACCTGGAGCCGTCCTCAGGGATCTCAGGGGCCACAGATCTCAGCCCAGGCAGAGCATCAGGGTCCCAGCCCCACTGGGTCAGATTCTCTAGGGATGGAGCCTGGGAGTGTCTTTTTCACCAAGCTCTCCAGGCTGGTGGGCTCACGAGCCAGGGTTGAAAACCATAGTCGATCAACCTGAGGGTTACAGACTCTGGCCCACCGCCTGTTTTTGTCTGTCAAGTTTGCTCGGCACGTGGCCATGCGTATTTGTCTCCTTACTGGCTGTGGCTGTTTTGCACCATAACGGTGGGGCTGAGTGGTGAGACAGGCTGTGTGGCCCACAAAGCCTAAAAATATTCATTGTCTAGGCTTTACCGAAAGTCTGCTGACCCCCTCTTTGCTCCTGGGAGCGTGCTCTATCCTTGCTTGGAGGACTTGGCGCAGAGCTCCGGCTGTCCATCCAGCTTTGTGTGGACAGGATGGGGCGCCAAGCTGGGCGGCCGTGTCCTGCTTTGGAGGGTGTCCGCCTGGTGCTCCTGGCCCCACTGCTGCCTGGAGCACCTGCCTTCTCTTCCCGGTGGCAGCCCAGGGGAGGGTCTTCCAGGAGGAGGGGAGGGGTCCAGAGAGAAGGCCGAGGAAGGGTCATGCGGAGTCTGCCTTCCCACCCACTGCCGCTCCCTCCCAGCCCAGCAGGCTCACGATGAGTCTCTCTGGGTCCTGTTGTGGGAAGTTTCTCAGCCTGGGTCTTCTCATGAGTGTTGCTAACAGCTCCTCTGGCCGAGGTCAAGGTCCTCGAGGGGCAGGAGTCTTGCCTAGCCTAACTCTGCCTCTTTCCAGCTGTGTGACATCTAATCTTCTCTGGACCTCAGTTTCCTGTATCTGTAAGATGGCATAATTCATCTTTAGTGTTCTTTTTTGAGTTTGTTTGTTTCTTTTTGTTGTTGTTGTTCGAGTTCTAAGATTCCGTCAGCCCTTCTCCCCAGCCTACGTTTCAGGTAAAGTGCTTTTACTGTCCTCTAGAAGAACCTGTCCCTTTCCCACCTGGGCATCTGTTCTCACAGCTCCTGATGCTGGAGGCACCCTCCCCAGATGGACGCCAAGGGCTCGACTATGGCTGGGGACCACGGCCAGGGCCCCCCTGTCTCCGGGCCTCCATTTCCATCTGCACAGGGAGGGGGCTGACTGGCCTGGGTGAGCCCGCGGGCTCTCCCCAAACCCGCTGCCCCTCTGCTTGGCCCCAGCAGAGTCCCCGTGGTGACAGAGGAGGTGGCCCGGGAAGCCCTCCTCAACTTCGTGAACTCCAAGTGCTGCTACGGCAGCGCAGCTGCCACTGACCTCATCGTCCAGGAGCTGAGGCAGCAGACCCTGTGCAGGGTGAGGGGGCAGCTGGCGGGGACCGGGAGGCTCGGGGTGAGGGGGCAGTGCCTGCGAGTGGCAGTGACATTGAAGTCCTTTCTGCCGCGTCTTGGGTCTGTAGTGAGTGATAACACAAGGAATAATTATTCTCAGTGGCCAGTGAGCAGCTCGGATGCACTAGGCGTCTGGAAAGCACATTCATAAATATCTCATCAAACCCTCAGACTGCCCCACACGGCAGGTGTTATTGTCACCAGTTAAGAGGAGGAACTGGATGTTTAGAGAGGTGGAGTTACTTGCCCCTGACATGCAGCTGGTAGAGACTGAGCTGGGATTCAGACTCAGGCTTGCTAGTGTCAAAGCCGTGTCGTTAAAGACACGACTGATCTGGGGGAAGGGCAACAGCTCAGTGTTGGAGCTCATGCTTAGCATGCACGAGGTCCTGGCTTCAACCCCTAGCACCTCCATTAAACTAAGCTGCTTCCTGAAGGGGTGGGCTAGAGAGGGCCATCCCCTCCCCTGATCCCAGCTCCCTGCCTTCCTCAAATCACATCTATGCCAAGGAGTCATTTATTCATCACCCCCAGGCCTGAGGCTCCACAGGGAGCCTGCGTCTGGTACTGAGACCACAGCATCCCCCTGTCGCCTTCTGCCTTAACAGGGAGAGGTTGAAGCTCACATTTCCTAGTTCACCGGCACAGTCATTCCCTAGAGGGCACATAATCACATAGAAATCAGAAGAGCTTTGCAGGGAGAAATCAGAGTAGGGATCGGGGAAGAGGCCTCTGTATAGCTGTGTGACCTCGGGCAAGTCAACTGACCTCTCTGAGCCCCCATTTCCTTACATGGAAGAGGAGGAGCCAGGTGATGTCCATGATCCCTTCCTGCTTTGTGATTCTGTGGATGAGGATCAAGAAGGAAGATCTTGACATCAGGCAGATAAATTCCTCCAAAGGGTATTTGGCGCTGTTGATTCCAGCTGCTTCCATCTGTCAAAGGGCAGTTGTTGCTTCAAACTTGTCTCATGGACCATTTCTATGTATAAAAAAATGAGGAGCTGAAGCAGCCCAGTTGTGAGCCGGCCAGGAACAATTTCCCGGGGCTGACTGACCCCCTGCAGATGTCCTGGGGCATCTGCCATGGAAGTCCCTGCTGCCGGCCTGTTCTGAGCAGCCTGTAGGCACTGTGCCTGGGGGATCACACCCCGAGGGTGGGGCACTTCATTCTTTCACATAAGGTTCTGTCTTCCTAAGGGCACAAGTGTGACATGCTGTTTTTTCTCTGTAGTATCGACTAGAGACCTTCAGCGAATCCAGGATAAGTGAATGGACTTTTCAGCCATTTACTAGTGAGTTGTCTGAAATCAGTTTAATTGGGAGCAAATACAGCAGGTGCTGGTGGAGAATAACACTTGTCTTCCCCCGAGTAAGATGTTCTTATGCTCAGAGCCTCAGTTTCCCATCACCCATAAAAAAGAGAGGGTGGCCTTTCCTCTTGGAGACTTTCCAGGACTGGTCTTAGCAAACGTTTCCTGTCCCGGCACTGGTTCGCTGGAGGGCCTGAAAAAGTCTAGTGTTGTGTTTGGCCACAAGCTGGTGCTGCCACCTGGGGCCAGACTGCAAAGGCAGCAAGTGTGCTCGGGTGACCGCATGCCTCCCAGGTCTCCCCAGCACCTTCCTGAGTTTCTGGACCCCCTGGGGACCCCGTTCACTGTGCCATCACATCTTCTGCTGAAGCCCCTGGAGGCTTCAGGCTCTTGGTCTGGGAAGCCCTATGTCCTACCTGTTTTTTCTACTGACTGCTCTGGTTTATCTATCAAGACTCAGTTCACATGTTCCCTCTCTCATGAAGTCTTTGAGGATATCTTCTGCTGCCCCCTCCCCAGCAGAATGAGTCAGTCCTCTGAGGTTTCAGAGCCCTTTATGCAGCTTTGTCCAAAGCACTTACATGCAGTCTGTCGCATCATGGCTAAAGCTGTGTCTGTCTCCTTGAACAGAGGAGGGGGAGGAGAAAGAAGACGATGCTGGGGGTGGTGACCATAGTGATGACAGTCCTTGTTTCTTGACCCCTCAGCATGTACCAGCCCTGTGCTAAGCTTTGGTATGCCTTCTTTTACTCAGCTTTCACTTCCTTCCTACATGGTAGGTACCACCATTATCCCCATTTTAGGGAGGAGAGAACTGAGGGTCAGAGAGGTGGGGTAGCTTGTCTAGGGAGATGCTGCTAGGAAGTAAAAGAACCAGGGGTCAACCAGGTTTGTTCAACTCCAGTGCTTGGGGGCTTAACCACAGACTCTAAGGGGACCCTTACCTCCCCATCCCAGAGCCCCAGGGTCTAGCCTAATGCCTGGCACTGAGTGAAGGCTCTACATCATTTGGTGAATAAATGAAAGCTGGTCCTTGCAGCCATTTGCTGGTCTTATAACAGCCTCTTTCTCTGTCAGATCACTCCGTGGATGGGCCACAAAGAGGGACCTCCCCCAGGCTTTGGGACATCGAGGTCCAGGTTCCTCCGATGTTTCAGGAAGATACCAGGAAGTTCCAGGTCCCTCACTCATCACTGGTCAAGGTAACATGTTTACTGGAGTCTTTGTCCCTCTCTCTCTGAGCCAGTTTTCCAGGCACTATAGGTTTCTTCAAGCTTTATCCTTTAAAAAAGGAAACCCCAAATCCAAGGTGGTGGTTCATTCCTTGACCGTCAAATAAGTGGACTTCTAAGGAAACCCAGTGTGTGGAGTGTAGTCCCAACAAAAGTCCATGCAAATTACAGAGTGTCACATGGCAACAGGGTGGTACAAAATGTCACCAGCTTAAATAGTGGGCATTCACATCCCTACATCATGTAAGTGTGTTTATCTTTTTAATTTTTTAATTTTTTGGCCTGTCAGTAAATAGCTGAATGAAACAAATATAAAATAAAATTAAAGCCTTGTTGGATTTTTTTTTATGGTAGTTAGTAGGAGAGAATTTGACCTCTACACTGTTTTCCATAAATATAATCAGGACAGGCAGTGAGGGTCAGCTCATGTGTTACACAAACACCACTGAGATGTTTTATATTATGTTCTCATCGAATTACCTGCCTTGTTTTCACTTTAGAACATGATTCAGGCATGTCATTTCACCCTGCAAATTTTTATAGCATCGTAACATGAAGAGGACTTTGAGAGATCAAGAAAGTGTTTCGTTCTTTTCTCCAGGGTGGAAAAGCTATTCTGATTCAGCGACTGAATTCCAGTAGCTCGTTGCCTTTCACAGAGATGCCCTTCATCTCTGATGGCTTCATCTCTTAAGACTGCCTTTAGCTGCCTAATGGGCAAAGGAAACGGGCTTTTGTGGTTTAGCCTGGGAGTCGGGGTAGGGCATGGCAGTCGGGGAACAGGTCTCCCCTTCTGAGCATCCAGGACAGATGGGGCTGGGGCTCTGAGGAAACGGTCTCATGACCTCCTGGGCTTGGCATTCAAGGCCCTTTGGAATCTAATCAACAGCGAATAGCCACCTTCCCACGGCGGCTGGAAGTGCTGTACTCGCGTTGGGAAGGCGACCTCATGGGGGTGGGGGTGGTGGAATCAGGAGCTGCCGATGCTCGGGAAAGCAGATCAAGGAGGGCATGCGCTTTCAGGAATGCCACAGGTGCCACGGGCGTGGGCGCTACAAGTGCAGCGGCTGCCACGGCGCCAGCACGGTGAGTCACGAGCGGCCGGCGGTGTGCGTGATGCGTGCGGGCCGAGCCACGTGGGGGCGGGGGGCTGGGCGGGGGGCCTGGGGCTGCCCGCACTAGCAGTGCGACCTCACACACTCACCCTCCCTTTCTTCTTCATTTTTTAAAATGTATCTTTTACTCATTTATTTTATTTGGGGAGGGGTGAGGAGGTAATTAGGGGTTATTTTTTGTTTATTTTTTAATGGAGGTACTGGGGATTGAACCCAGGACCTGGTGTGTGCTCAGCATGAGCTCTACCACTGAGCTATACCCTCCCCCCATCCTCCCTTTCTGAGCCTCCATCTTCCTACCTGTAAGATGGGTAAGTTGGATCTCTACTGACCTTTTTCACTTTGATGGTTTATGACTTTCATTCTTCTCGCCTTTTTTCCTCCACCTACAAACTTTACTGAGTGCCCGCTCAGTGCAGGAGGACTAAGACCTGGGGTCCTTCTCGTGGAGACTGTCTCTCTGTAGGGCAGACTGACAAGTGACCAGCACTCCTGGTGCAGGTGGTGAGTGCCGGGAAGTGAAGTTCAGGGGCCTTTGAGCCATAAAATAGACTCAGGCCTTGGATTTGTTTCCTGGGGCTGCTGTAATAAATGACCACACGCTGGGTGGCTTCAAACAACAAATTAATTCTCTCAGAGCTCTGGAGGCCAGAAGTCTAAAACCAGGGGGTTAGCAGGGTTAGTTCCTCCCGGAGGCCCTGAGGGAGAAGCCGCCTCAGGCCTTCCTCCGAGCCCTGTGGCTGCCAGCAGCCCTTGGCTTGTAATGACATCACCTCCATCTCTGCCTCCACTGTTTCCCGGCCTTTGCCCTGTGTCTGTGTCTCTGTCTCCTCACGGCCTTCTGTTGGGACACGAGTCATGGGGTGTAGGGCCTACCCTCCTCCAGGATGACCTCACCCTCACTGATTACATCTGCAAAGATGGTTTCCAAATAAGGTCCCCTTATGAAGTTCTGGTTGTGGATGTTGGGGGTAGGGGCGAACATACACCATGCAGCCCTGGGCCCCTCAGTGCGCAGGCAGCCCCTCGCAGCATCAGTGTTCCTTGTAGAACCGTCTAAGCTACTAGCCGTCCCAGTGGCGAGACCGCCCCCGAGTGTTCTCAGCTCTCTCCACCCTCTCCATTTGTGCCCCAATCCCCTGGACACACACACTGGCTACGTCCCCTCCTCCCTCAGCTGCCCACCCGGGCTCCCTACGCTCAGTGCAGCAGGCTCCTCCCACTGCCCTCACAGCGCCCTCCCCTCGATGGGGCCCAGCTGTGCCCTTGCTGGGGCCCAGCTGTGCCCTTGCTGGCTCTGTGTCCCTTCCTGGGGCCTTTGCTGCTCCCTCCTCCCTCCGCTGCCCACCTCCCCGCCTCATTCCCCAGCCTTTCCCTGCAGTGTCTCCTGAGCCCCCACTGTGGGATGTAGCCTGGCTCATCTCTGGGGACCTTTCCAAGATGCAGCTGTTTGGGCCCTGTCTGGCCAGAGCTGTTTGGTCAGAGACGGTCCTGGTCCTGGGGGCAGTGGGGATGAGCGAGGAGCAGGAGAGGCTGATGTCTCAGGAGAAACAGTGAGGATGCAGAATCTTTGAAGGCTACAACCAGAGAGGTCCAAAGATACACTGCGTCCAGCCCTCCCACTTACAGATAAGGGGCCGAGGCCCAGGGAGAGGAAGTGGGGAAGTGACTGGGGGCGGGTCACAGGCTGGGATTGGAACCAGGTTTCAGGATGCCCTCTGCCTGCTCCCCCGGGAGGCCAGTGGGGCTGAGGCCACATGTGTCCGCAGGTGAGGTGCCCCTCCTGCAGCGGCGCCAAGCGCAAAGCCAAGCCCGCCCGGCGGTGTCCGATGTGCTCGGGGTCCGGCAGGCGGAGGTAAGGGTGGGTCTCCCCGGCACCGAGCTGCCATTCTTGCTTTTCACTGCCTGCCCTCCTGGAAGGCAGGCGGGCGCCCTGTCTGTCTTGTCACTCCAGTGTCCCCAGAATTCTGTGCATTGTAGGTGCGCTGTTGCCTAGGTGAGTGTTTCTCAAGACCTGGTATTTCGAGACCAGAGGGAGCTCGTCAAGCAGTCTGTGGGTTGGGGGAAGGGACGAGGCACTGCAGGGAGGAAGGGAGGCGAATGAGTTACGGGGAGGAGCCCTCTTCTTTCTCACATGGAGGGGAAGTGAATAGGGAAAACCATCCGAAGGTGAGATTCCTAACTCTCCAAGGATCCAGCCGGGGCAAACCCTTGTTTATAACCCACTGCAGGGTCTGAATGGAGGAGGAGTCAGGAATAGTCAGTTGATTAACTCAGTCAACAAAGTGCCATGTCTGTTCACAGGGCTTTGCAAACAGTGGGATGTTGCATCTTGGACATGATGTCCTTTCATGTATTTATAAATCCTTAAAGGGAAACAGGAAGCCAGGAGGAGTGAAACTCTTCAGAGTAGTGTTAGTTAATAATCCTTTTGGCTCATCAAGGCCCAGGCCGTCCTTCTAACAAGCCAGATGGCAAAGCTTTGGTGGACCTACCACCTGTGGTGGGTAAAGATTGTCTCTGATTTGGAAAGAAATACAGGATTCTTTCACTTACAAGTAAAAGAACTCTAAATCAAACTGGCTTTTGCAAAAAAGTAAATTTATAGGCCTGTGTAACAGAAAAGTCTAAGAACATATTTCCAAGGTGGCTTTAGGTACAGCTGGATCCAGGTGCTTTAACAGTGCCATGAGGAATCTGCTTCCATCCCTCACACTGCTTTCCTTCGTGTTGGATCCATTCTCAGACAGGCTGTCTCCTGTGGTGGCAGAGGAGGCCACCAGCAGCTCCAGATGTAGTAACCTCAGTAGAAAAGGGTGGCCCTTTCCTGATAATCCCAACAAAAGTTCTAGGGTGCATCTCAATGCACTCACTGGGCCAAGTGTCAATCTTGGTATCAGCCACTGTGGCCAGAGAGAGGGAATAAGCTCACTGGCCAGGCTGAAGTCCCAGGCTGGTCCTGGAAGGGGCAGGGGTGAGCCCACAAACCATGTGGTCTCCGAAGGGAGACCGGGGCACTGCTACGGGAAGCAGGAAGTCTAGATGGTGGAAGTGAGGAAGTGGTCCATGCCCAGCACAGCCCACCTCCATGAAGAAGGATGTGGGGTGGGAGCCTCGGAAGCCACAGGACGCCACGACTGTCTGAGCCATACCGATGGTGCCCCTCTCAGATGCAGCACGTGCTCAGGGAGGGGGAACAAGACCTGTGCCACCTGCAAGGGGGAGAAGAAACTGCTGCACTTCATCCAGCTGGTCATCGTGTGGTACGTGCAGCTCCCAATGCCCTGGCCTGGCGGGGGCGGCTGGGGGCTGTGGCCTGGAATGGTTTCTGCAGAGAAGCTCCACTTGGTGGGGGCTTTGACAGTGCAGGGACCTGCTGGGAGAGGAGGAGTCCCAGGGTCCTAAATCCCCACATCAGGGGAGCTGCCCTGCATTAAGGGGTTTCTCCTGTTGGGCACCCAGCTCAGCGCATCACAGGTGAGGGTGACGTGATGTAATAGAACAGAACTGTCAGTGCTTTACTAGGTGCCCTCTTTACAGGTGAGGATGCTGAGGCCCGGAGAGGCTAAAGCACCTCCCCAGGGTCCCACCAGTAGCAACGCAAGCCCTCCAGCCCTGGTCAGCCTGACTCCAAACCCATGTTCTTAACCCAACACATGTGCTCTGCCCTCTTCCTCTTCACTTCCAGGAAAAACAGCCTATTTGAGTTTGTGTCTGAGCACCAGCTGCACTGCCCTGGGGAGCTCCTTGCTAAAGCCAAAGGGGAGACCCTCTTTAAGGATGAAAACACGATGGTAAGGAGGGCTTTGCAACCACCACAATGGGGGCTGGGTTCCTCCTCCCCGCTGTGAGGCCGGGCCTTCTCAGCTTCTGCAGGTGCTGCTTCTGTTTAGAAAGATGGGCTGGATGGGAACAGAGCTTTCCAGGGCAGGACAGAGGCTGCTGGGACCCTGTGGGGCTGGTTTGTCCTGAATTTTACTTATTCAGCCCTCTCTCTTCTTCTGTTCCTTTTCCCTCCACCTTCCATCCCTTCCACAAACTTTGACACCCTCCTCCTCGACCAGGCATTATTCTAGGCCCTGCAGATACCATCAAACAGAATCTCTGCCCTTGTAGACCTCACAGTTGGGAAAAGATAATAATAGCATTTCCCCCAGTGTCAGGTGGTGGGTGCTAAGCGTCATCGGAAATACACAAGCAGGGTAAAGAGACAGGACCGGGTAGGGCTATTGTTCTAGCTGGGGCCAGGGAGCTGACCCTGAATGCACCGCAGTGGGGGAGTGGACGGTGTGACCACCCGAGCGAGGGTGTCCAGCAGAGGAAGCAGTAAGACAGAGGCCTTGGGGAGCAGCAGAGGGCAGGGAGGCTGGAGGGCAGTGCGCTGGGCAGGGCAATGAGCCAGATCAGGGAGGGTCCTGTATGCTAGGAAGGGATTGGCAAGCTCTGGCTCTCAGCCTGCTTTTATAAATAAAGTTTTATTGGAATACATCCATGCCCGTTTGTTTACATATTGTCTGTGGCTGCGAGGGCAGAGTTGAGTACAGAGACTCTCTGGTCTCCTGCTGTTAGCCTTTTGGCCTTTATGGGACATCCTCTGCAGTTTTCTTTAAGAGGGTCAGTTTTTTTTTCCCTTCCGTCTTTCCTTTTTTTTTTTTTGTACAGCATGTAGCTGTTTCAGATTGGCTTCTTTCACTTTGTAATATGACTTTAAAAAATTGAGACATAATTGACATATAACATTTTATTAGTTTCAGGTGTACATCATGATTTGCTATTTGTTTATATTGTGAAATGGTCACCACAGTAAGTCTAGTTAACATCTATCACCACAGTCAAACCTTTTTTCTCTTGTGGTGAGAACTTTTATGATCTACTCTCAACAACTTTCAAATATACAATCTAGTATTATCAACTGTAGTCACCATGATGTACATTACATCCCATGACTTACAACTGCAGGTTTGTCCCAGTTGACCCCCTTCACCCACTTCGCCGATTCCCCAATCCCCATCTCTGGAAACCACCAATCTATTCTCTGTATCTAGGAGTTTTGTTTTGTCTTTGATCTCACTTCTATGTGGAATAAAAACCTATGATATTTATCTTTTTCTAACTTACCTCACTTAACATAACACCCTCTGCCATCCGTCGTGTTGAAAATGGCAGGATTTCCTTCTTGAGGGCTGAATATAGTCCTCAGGCTCCTTTCTTTGCCCCAATCACCCAGCTTCCTAAAGGTTCACCTCAGGCATCGCCGGCTCCAGGTAAACCCTGCACCACCCCCCCCAGCCGAGTCAGGCTATACCAGAAGCCCGGTGGATGGGGCAGAACTGTCTACAGCCCTGCTTTTTGTTGGCATTTCCAAGGTGGTAATGTGGGTGATCAAGGTTTAACAAGTGCCACCCACCCCACTCGCTCCTGGCCTGGGCCCTCCCTTCGGACTTGTGCTCTGGTCCTTCTGCGTCAGCCCGCTGAGGCTCCGGATCAGGGCAGGTGGTCCTCATCTCCCCCCAGGTGTATCCCATCATCGACTTCCCCCTGCGGGAGATCTCTCTGGCCTCCCAGCGGGCCATCGCCGAGCACAACGCAACGCTGGCCTCCCGCGCCCGCGTCCTGCAGCAGGTGAGCTGGGCGGGCAGGGCTTGTGGGAGGTGAGGTTCCTGGTGTCCGACCGGGGGATTGAGGGCACTGCCCCTCTGGTCACATAAAGGAGGAAATGGGCCCCTCCCTCTGCCCGGAGGCTCCTTCCTCTGAGAGTGGCAGGGCGGAAGGAAGAGGGGGTGGAGGGGAGGAGCCCCAGCCCGAGGAGCACTAGGGACTGACCTGTGGCCGAGGGCAGAGAGCTCGGCGGGCCAGACCAGAGACCACGGTGAGAGGCTTGCATTTTATCCTGAGAGTGACATGAAGCTTGTAGGGTTTCACGCAGCAATGTGGCTCAGTGTGATTTTGGTTCTCACCCCCTGGTATTCAGAGAGGGGAAGACGAAAGCTCTAGATCTAGGGTCGTAGGCAGGGCTGGAACCCAGCGTCCTGTCCCTCAGGGCCCTTCCCAAATCCCAGGCTGGTCCCTCCGGGCCTCCCAAGGGCGGGGCTGGCCGCCAGGGCTGCTGTGTGGCTGTATCTGGATGGCCACTAGGTGGCGGTGGTGCCCTTCGCGTCTCCAGGTGCGGCTTGGGGCGGGCGTGTCGGGGGGCGGGAGGGGCAGGAGGCGGGGAAGGAAACCGGTGGAAGATGGGGGTTTTGGCCGGGACACCCAGCGCCAGAGCTCTGTGAGGGGCGTCTGTGGCGGGATCCGACTCTTAGAGAAGGGGCTCAGATCCTGATTCTCCTAAGTGGCCCTGGACTAGCTTCCAACTCGTCCTTGAAGTTCAGTTTCTTACCTGTGGAAAAGAGATGCTAACACTGCCTCAGAGGGTTTTGTAGGCATGAGATCATTTGCTTTAAATGCCTGGAACCTGTTGCTCAAACTGCCCTTGTTCCTTCTGTTCCTGTTTGCAATGAGTATTTCCCCTTCTCTCTCTGCACATCTCTATTGGCAGGAGAAAGAAGCATGCCTTTAGTTTAAAATTAATAATGACCATCTTGGAGCTGGAATGAATGGCAGAAATCATGGCACTGGGACACTGCAAACTCAAAGACTTCCAGGGTGGGTGGTAGCATGGGTGGGAGGCCCCCATATCCAGAGGGGTGGGCCTCCCTTCAGCTCTGTGTAGCCTAGGGGCAGAGATTTCAGGCCTGCTGAAGTCCAGACTTCTATAGAAAATCTAATTTTTCAATATTGAGAGCAAAATTTGAAAAATGCTAATAACTCTGTGTGAACTGATGGGCCAGGTTTGGCCCATGGGCCATCATTGGCTACCCCAGGTCTAGACCAAACCCCTGACTTTTCCAATAAATCAGAGGAGGCCCAAAGAGTGGACGTAATTTCAACAAGGTCACACAGCTTCTTAGCAGAAGAGCCCAAGAGTAGAACTCAAATTTCCCAACTACAAGGGAAATGTTTTTATCTGCTGCATTCAAGACACACAACCAACTGAAAGCTGGGGTGGCTTTGCAGGGATAACAGCCACGTGTGGGATTCACAGCGCTTTTCACCCGGCAGACACTGCGGGAACAATTAACTTCCCAGCTCTGGCTTGTACTCCTGGCGCTCCTCTTCCCTTCACAGCTCGATGTCCTCATCTATAAAGTGGGTGTGGTTGGGCTTCGCAGAAGCTGCTCTGAGACAAAGATCTGTGTGTGAGTCATTCGTTAAGGAAGGGCTGCTGGGAGAAACTGGGAAAGGGGTGATGGCATTGGAGCAGAAAGGACAGACCATGCAAGGGCCGGTGTGGGCGGTGGTGCTCTGAGCATCAGTCATGCCTCGGCAGCTCTTCCCTTGGAGCTGACGTCTGTTCTGCAGCCCTGTGCAGGAAAGACCGCAGCCGCGTGGGTGCAGTATGGCGTGTGTTACAGTGAGGAGCCCCAGATACTGAGGTGTCTGCTCTGAAACAGGCAGAATGATCAGGACGTGATTTTAGCAGCTTGCCGATAGAAGTGGGACTTTTGTGCTTCTGAGGCTGATAGTTTGAGTCCTTTTTGGACCCTTCATTTATTTGGCAGAGGGGCAGTGGCCTGCCCTATCTGACACAGTGTGTTGGCGGCAGTCCTCCGTCTAGACCCTGGGTCCCCCGGGCTTTCCCCGAAAGCTTAGACCCGTCTCGGGCCACACAAGCCATCTGTGAACCAGTCTGAGCAGGGAGGGCTGAACCAGAGGCAGACGCACACTTTAAAAGGGAATGTAATAGGAGGAAAGGCCACATTGGTGAATCTTTTTCCTAAATTGTCCTTTGGCCTTGGATCCGTAGATGAAGATTCATGCTGCCGTTTGGGTCAGGGCTAAGAAGTGAGTGAGTAGAATCCAGCAAGGAGACAGCGGTCACACGCGGTGCCCTGGCCACTCCTCTCAGACCCGGAATCTGCTCACCCCAGGGGATGAATGAGGTGTCTGAGCAGATAAACGGCCGATTACGAGATGACCACGGTTTGGCAGCAAATGTCCTAAGCATCCTGTGGTCTCAAACCCCAAGACTTTTCAAAATCAGAAATGGACGCGGGTGGGGATGGTTTTGCTGGGCCTCCATGTGATCTCTGTAGAAAAGTCTAAAAACAAGAGTGGTTTCTGAGCAGTGATGTTGGTGCCCATCTGCTCTTGGTCTCAGTTCCCATTTTGGGGTCCTTTATACCAAAATTCAAGAGGAAACTTCAACCTTTTATTTCCACATTTATCACTTGGAGGTTCATTTCCGGCATATGGAGAAAACTCAGTCTCACGATCGTCTTTGGTTTTTTCCGACAAGTCTGTGATGTAGAAGTTTTTACTCCCATTTCACAGATGAAGAAACGGAGGCCCAGAGAGAGGAAGTGTGAGATCACACAGACCGCTTCATGGAAAGCGTAGGCCCCGACCCTGAGTCCCCTCTTCCTGCTGTGGTGTCACATGCCCTCTGGTGCCCCTCCTGTACCCTAGGGAGCCTGCTTGTCAAGATGGCCTCCCTGGCCTGGTTCCCCCTGTCCCCTGGGGCCTCCAGACCATCACCTACCATGAGAGGACTTGGACTCTTTTCCCAAGAAGGGGAGCTTCCTGCAGGCGGGAAGGTCTGACCCTGGGCCAACCACACCACCTCCCTCTGGGGTTGGGGTCCCCCAGTCTGAGTCTGGGATAGGGGAGCAACTTGTGCAGAAGAACTCAGGGTTTTGGCACAGAGCCTGGCCCACATACATCCTGAGAAAGCTTTGCTCCGATGGTGAGGAGTCACTTTGCCATGTGGATTATGCATGTAGTTGTCCGTCACAAAACACCACAGCTAACGACATGGGTATCCCAGCAGGAGCCAGTGTCCTCTCCCAACGTGGCAAGCCTGCTATGTTCTGCTGACCACCTCATGATTTTGGAAGATTATTGAGTAACTGCTCGGAGAAGGGGCCAGAGAGGGAGGGATTTAGGGGAGTGAGCGCCCCAGGCTCTCAGGTAGACGCAGATGCTGGGGAAGAGATCTGAGCATGAAACAGTTCCAGCTACGGCCAGGAGATCTAACAAACTGGAAATTCCACAAGCCCATGGGCCCCAGTTCCCCATTTGTAAAAGAAGGGGGAAACAAGTCTTTCCTCAAAGGAAGGTCAATGCAAAACCGAGGAGTGGGGAGAGAGGAGTCTAAGAAAATGGCCTCAAGAAGCTCATCAAACCTTGGAACTTCTTTGGGATTAACATTTTATCTTAAAATTTCATTCAAATTGTATAATCCACTCTCTACTGTCTCCATGGTTGTTTTTAATATAAAAACGTCTAAAATGACTTTATCCTCTACCTTTCTCTGCCCCACACCCTCATCTAAAAATTAATGCTTCTCGAAGATGTCCTGTTTGGCTGGTGGCTTTCCATAACATCCTGAAACTTCCTTCCCCCACTCCAGAAACTTAGAATCAGATGATGGTTAAAGATGAGAAATCGATTTGGATCAGAGCTGAGGATGTGAAGGAGTGCAGTAGAAGCTACATTTCAAAAGGCAGGGAGGAGCCAAAATGCCAACTCCAGAGCATGAACTTCATCCCACTGGTAGTAGGGAGCTACTGAAGGTTCTTGAGCAGGTGAGTGACATGAAGAGAACATTGAGATTTTTCTTGGCCAATTGTTTCCTCAGCGCCAGACCATCGAGCTGGTCCCCCTCACGGAGGTTCGCTACTTGTACCGAGGAAAGACTTCTGTCTACTACCTCTACGGCACTGACCACAGAGTGCACGTGGTGGACTACCCCGAGAGGTACTGCTGTGGCTGCACCATCATCTGACACTGCACAGCCGCGCCCAGACCCCACCACTCACATTTGCCAAGGAGGGCAAACGAGGTCTCTGAGTTCACTCACTGTTGGCTGTTCTGGACAATCGCATACAAACTCTGCTGTGTCCTTCCAGAGAATTCAGCTCCTCTGTCAAGCCCCAAGTCGTTCTGAAGCCCTTCTGGTGGAATCCATCCTGTGCTTAACCTACAAGAATTCATCTACACACGTTCCTTTAGGAGAAATCACTTAACGGGTGGGGGCTTTGCCTCTGGCCTCCGAGCTGAAGCCCTGATTGCATGTGGGGTTGATTTTGCTTGTCCCTGGATCAGTCTTGGTTCCAGTGGGCCTTAAAAGTGCAGACCTTTTGCAGAGCTGAGTGATTGTGAAATACATTAAGATATGCAGAAATTGGCTGCCCCTTAATGCACACCCAATAGCTCACGTAGGAAAAAAAATGTACGAAATTTCACTCCTCGTTCTCTGGGTCAGGAATTCAGACATAGCCATGACAGGGGTGGTGCAGGGCAGGGGGCTGAAATCATCTGAAGGCTGGTTCACCCCAATATCTGTGGGCGATGGTGGCTATTGCCTGGAACACCTATGTGTGGTCTCTCCATGCAGTGTGGGCTTCCTTACAACATGGCGGCTCTGAGGGTAAGCGCCCGTCGTGCACAACCTGATTGAAGGGCTAGAGACCTGTTCCCAGGCTGGAGAGCAAAGCCACTGTGTTGGAGGGACTTGGGTCTGTCTGCCAGTTGCTAGCATGGTGCCTGTGCGTGGGTAAATTTTACAGAGTGATCTTGGATCCACGCAGGTTCTTACATCACCTGCTGACCTTAGAACCTGCCCACTGAGTAGGATGCGAACTTGGACGTCCTGTGTACCCAGTCACGTGCAGGAACTCCCACCTGGTACAGTGAGGCTGGGTGGGCAGAGGGGACACCCTGCACATTGAATACCCAGCTGGCTTTGGAGGGGCAGTTCAGGGACTGGGTGGGCCACTGGGTACCAGGCTGTGGATAACCAGAGGCCCTGGTCATCGTACAAGGCCTGTCCTTTCCTGGAAGGGGCTGCTGCTCCCCAGGAGGGCCAGTCTGTACCCTCTTGATCCTCAAGCTCTTCTCTTGGCCTACATACAGCCCTTGCCCCTCATGGGGTAGAAGGATGTGGACAGGCCTGGTTGGGGGAGGCTTGGAGAGACTAGGGCCACTCCCCTGGGCATCACTGACAAATGATATGCAAACGAGCACCCCCATCCTCTCCTGCTGCCACCCTGCCCCTGGGGGGGTCTCTGTGTTCGGATGTTGCATTTGCCCCCCAATTTGGCTGAACCCCCACTGGCGGGACCTGGCTGACAGTGTGCTGGGTCTTGCCAACAGGAGCAGCAGGAGTCAGGGGGCGTCCTCCCTTGGGACTGCACGGAAAACAAGGGGAACTTGACTGAGAAGCAGAGGGGTGTGAACCTCGAGGCTCTGAGATGCCAGAGACCTGCAGAACTTCCAGGCTCAGGTTTTGCCTCCTGAGCAGGCTGCCCCCAGCCAATGCCGCAGGCTCCACTGGTGGGTGAGGCCAGGGCAGGACAAGGTGCACCCTGGGCTCAGGGTACATTCTGGACCCTGGGGACAGAGCCTGTTGGTGGCAGGGGATACACAGTCTTCCCAAAGACTTCCCAGCGCCTCTCTTGTAGTGCCCAAGTCTGGGAGGCCAACACCTCCGGCCCCTGGTGTCTCCGTGTGACCCACCTCTGTGGTTTTTCAAGGCGATGCTTCTCTTCTGCCCCTAGGGGGCGTCGTACAAATCGCGTGGATGGTTTTTGGTTGTTGCAAGAAGTGGAAGCAACACTATTGGCATTTGATGGA